CTTTCTTCAGCCGGAGGAAGGGGGTTATTGAATTTTCCCTGTTTATTGCAACTTCGCTGCTTGCAAGATGTCGGGGGACCCTTGTGCCGAAGCAAAAATCGTTTCTCTGGTCTGACCGGGGATGGCGGGGGGGGGGTCTGCGGTGCCCGGGGGTCACCCGGCACTGGGGTGGCAGCAGCGCTGGGGTCCCCCCTCTGCCTGGGTGAGACCTCCCACCCCTGGCCGTGATGGAGAACCCTCTCCCCTCCCACCTTTGGTCCAGAGGGGCGGCAAGGCCCAAGTCCCCTCCCGTGTAAATCCAAAAGGAGGGGACAACCCGATTTACCGCGGCGCAGGGATGCTCAGAGCGAGCGAGGCGAAAGGATGCTGAGGGGCTGGTCCAGCAGTGTAGCTGTGCAGCGCATCCCGCTCCGCTCCTGGCCCCAAGAAGTTTGGGCCACAGTAGGTACGGGGTGTTTCCAGCCGGCATGATCTCCAGCTGGGATTTCTGCTATGGAAAAAATCCCACAACAGGCTCTCCCGGCATCCCGGGAGATGCTTCCCACCGGGTTTTATTGCCTGGGGTAGTAGCATCAGGCGCAGGGGGGTGCTCGGTGAAGGGGATCGCATCCAGCTCTGACTGTGAGTAACGGGACGGAGTGGTGTCCCCATCTAAAACGTGCTCCGCTGGGTTGTTCTGCCTGTGGTGCTCCAGGAAGGGGGGTCTTGGGGCCCACCTCGGCGTGGTGCGGGGGGGACACCCCAGCCTGGCCCCATCCAGGCCTCCGCACAGCCTCGGGGCCGTGGCTGCGCCGCGCTGTGCCACCAGTCCCTGCAGCGACCAGATGCATTTTAGGCTCTAGGATTGTGCTTGCTAGGGTCTTGGGGGCACCACATTTACCACCCACCTCAGGGTCCCCCCAGCATCCAACCCCTCCTGACACTCGGGGAGATGCTGGAAAACCTCTCTCTCCTGCAAAGGCCACGTCTGCCAGGGAGACCAGAGCAATCACTGTCTTTGATCTTTTCCTGCTTCTCTTGCCTCAACCTGCTGCCTTAGAGAAGACGTTTGGGTTTTTCCCCCCCCCCGGCCGGCTGGGTGGTCTGCGGGGGGCAGGTGCGGAGGCAGCCTGGCATCTAGCGACTGGCGCTGGTAATACAGAGCAGCCTCCCCGCCAGCGCTGCCCTGAGCGGCTCCCCAGCGCCTGGGCTGGCCCCAGAGGGATGAACCATGTTTTGGGTGGCTCTGGTAGAGTCGCTGGAGGATGCCAGGTGTTTCGGGAGTTTATTTTGGGATGCATTTGGTGCGGATCCTCTTGGGCAGCTGCTGGGGCCTCTCCAGTGGCTCTCAGAGCTGCTGTGCCATGATCCCTTGGAGAAGCAAATCCAAAATGCTCACCTTAAAAGCTGGGTCATATCCCATCCTTTCTGTGAAAAGACTGCAGGATTGTGCCTCTGCCCCAGCCCCAGGCAGCAGAGATGCTGAAAAAGGGCATAAACCTGGATAAGTGTGTGCTGCCTGCGGAGAGCAAGGGCCTCCCGAGGCAGCCAGGATCTTCCCCAGCAGCCACCCTCCGTGAGTGGTTTTCACCCATTAATTTCTCTAATTGCTTTTGGGAATCGCAGCAGTGTTTGGCATTGGCAGCATCCCAGTGAGGTGCTGAACTGGGCTGGGGTCAGTGCTATGCCTCGGGGGTGGCTCACATGGATCCCCCTGATCGCTTCTCACCACCCTAAATCCAAACTCCTGCCCAGTGGGTCAAGGGATCCTGCTCCCCTCGGGGAAAGCATCTTTCCACTTGGAAAAAACACAAGAGTCGCAGTGATACGGTGGGGTAGCAAAGGCTCAGGGCCACCCACAGGCCATCTGTCCCTTGCAATGTCACCGCTGTCCCTCCCAGGTCAGCCACCATGGGCTCGGTGGGAGCTGAGCGCTTCAAGGAGCTGAGCCCGGCGGGGACACCGGAGGGCAATGTGGTGATGAGCTTCAGCTTCGACAGTTATCAGCTGGAGGAGGACGAGCTGCAGCGGGGCAGCCAGGCCAAGGGCATCCTCACCTTCATGGAGCCAGGTAAGGGCAGGGACAGCCCCAGCCCACAGCCAGGACTGGGGTTCTCTGGTGGTTTCCCACCCATTTAGGAGCTTCCTGGGATGGGTTTAATAGCCACAAATGGCCTGAAATGCTATAAAACTGCCTAATGACTTTTTTCAACCTGTTTGTACCTGTATGAGCCACCACAGCATCCCGTGGCGGTGGGCTCTGTGGGTTGGCAAGGAGTTGAGGGTTTATGCCCTGGCTCTCCAGCCTGGCTCACCCCCAGCCTGCAGTTTCATCCTTCCCCCGTGCAGGGCTCAGGGATGCTCCTGGGATTATTCCCAGCCCTGTCCACCTCCACACCCCACCTCAACCCCTCCTGCACCTAGACTTTGGCTCTTACCCACACTGCCTGGCTCTCAGGTTATTTGACTGCAATTAAAACTCGTCAGCCCCCAAAGCACAGGTGTTTTCCCACCTCCTGGGTCTCTCACTGAAATGACTTTAATTAGGGAAGGAGCTTACCGGGGCTGAGTCCGTTTATTTGTGAGTTCTGTGGGACACAGGGCTGCTTGCTGTGGTGTGACCCCCCCCTCATTTGTCATAAAGGATGTGGAAGGACCATTCATCACCCTAAAAGATCTGCTCCAGGTCCTGTTGGTGCAGCAGTGCCACTGTCATAGCTTTTTCTCTTTCTTTCCCCTTTTGGGTCAGTTTCTGATGATCCTGAGCCCCAGGATCGGTACCATGGGATTTACTTTGCCATGCTGCTGGCCGGGGTGGGATTCCTCCTGCCATACAACAGCTTTATCACAGATGTGGACTACCTGCACCATAAATACCCTGGTAGGTCTCCAGCAGCTGCACCACCTCCCAGCCACCCCAAATCCACTTCCAGGGGAGCCAGACCCCTGGCCCCCCCTCCCAACCCCATCACCTGCCTCTCTTCAGGGACCTCCATCGTCTTTGACATGAGCCTCACCTACATCCTGGTGGCCTTAGTGGCCGTCATCCTCAACAACGCACTGGTGGAGCTGCTGAGCCTGCACACCCGGATCTCTGTGGGTGAGTGGGGGGGGTCCCTGCACCCCTCGGCAGTGCCGGCCCCATGCTGTCCCCCCACCACCACCTGCTTCTTGTCTCCCTCCCACAGGCTATCTCTTCGCCCTGGGGCCCCTGCTCTTCGTCAGTATCTGCGATGTCTGGCTGGAGCTCTTCACCCGCAGGCAAGCCTACGCCATCAACCTGGTCGCTGTCGGGGTGGTGGCCTTTGGCTGCACAGGTATGCGGGAAAGCAGCTGGTGCGGGGGAAGCACGGCCCTTCAGGTGGGGTGAGAGGGGGGGAAACAGCCCTGTTTTCAAGAGCCGTGGTCTCCTGGGACAACCTCTTGCTCTGATGGCTATAAACTGCCCCTCGCGTCCCTGCTCCATCCCCTCCACCTCTGTCCAGCCACTGTGGGACTGGCCAGGGGCACCAGCACCAAACCGGGCATTGGTCCCCAACAGCACTGATCTGGGCCACCATGGTGGCTTCCCAAGCCCCTGCACTGGTGGCTACTCTTGATGGGAACAGCTGTGGTGGGGCACCCAGGGAGAGCAAAATACCCCCCCACTTTTGGGGCAAGGAGGCTTAGGGCACTGCGGCGGCTGTTTGGGAAGGATGCAGCTCCCAGATGGCACAGCATATGGGCTCCCACCGGGGTTTCTTCCCCCTGCCTGGTGTTTTGGCTGCAGCAATAATCCCTCCTTCTCCCCTTGGCGCATCTCTCCTGAAGTGCAGCAATCCAGCTTCTACGGCTACACAGGTCTGCTGCCCAAGCGCTACACGCAGGGAGTGATGACGGGCGAGAGTAAGTACCTGCATCTGCTGCCCGCGGCCACGTCCAACTGCGTGGTCTGGCTCGGTGGGACCCTCCTGCCCCTTCTCCTGGGGCCCTAGTGAGTCAACCCTGGGGCCCTGCTGTCCTCAGCACAGCCCACCAGGTTGCCAGCAGGACACCCCAAGGTGCTCCCCAGCAAACCAGGGTGTTTAATGGTTTCTAAATCACTGCCATGCCAAGCTGGGGGTGGGGATGTCTGCCAGGAGCTGGCTTCAGCACCCCAAAATCACTGCTGGTAGCTCCTACGCAGCTGGAGGCACCACATCCACATGGTGGGGGGGCTGATGGGGGTCCCTGAGTGACGAGGCTCAGCGGGACCCGGTGCCGATAGCTCTCCCATGCCACCAGGCACTGCTGGGGTCATCATCTCGCTCAGCCGTATCTTCACCAAGCTGCTGCTGTCAGATGAGAAGGAAAACACGGTCATCTTCTTTTTCATCTCCATCGGCATGGAGCTGACATGCTTCATCCTCCACCTCCTGGTGAAGCGCACCCGCTTCGTCCGCTACTACACAGCCTGCTCCCGCAAGGGCCTCCCCGAGAGCCGGGGGGCCAGCGACCGTGGGACGGGCTACCGCGTCCACCACGATGTCACCGCTGAGGATGTCCGATTTGTAAGTCAAGCACGAGTCCCCTCTGGCCCCTGGGGTCCCTCTTGCCACTGGAGCTCAGCACTGGTGTCCTCTCTCCCCCCACCCAGGAGAACCGGCAGCGGGGACAGCCAAGCTCCCCCCGGGACAGCCCAGGCCCCGAAGCTGAGCTGTCTGGAAGCGGCACATACATGCGCTTTGATGTCCCTCGGCCCAAAATCAAGAAGAGTTGGCCCAGCTTCAGAGGTGGGTGGTAGGCTCAGGGGGCAAGCCACACCAACAGGGTGGTTTTGCAGCATTTTGCAAGGCAGAATGAGCAATTGGTGGCCCAGGGCTTTGGGGAAGGGTCAGCCCTTTCTCAGTGTGCCCAGAAACATGGAGTAATCTTGTCTTTGAAAGCCACCCTCAGGGTGCTGGCAAGGCAAGGCTCTGCAAGGGGAGGGCTGCAGGTTTTGGCTGAGCTGTGCTACCCATCCCTGCCAGACATGCTGCTCCACCGCTACGTCGTGTCCCGGCTCATCTGGGCCTACATGCTCTCCATCGCCATGACCTACTTCATCACTCTGTGCCTCTTTCCTGGGCTGGAGTCGGAGATCCACAACTGCACACTGGGGGAATGGCTCCCCATCCTCATCATGGCCATCTTCAACCTCTCCGACTTCGTCGGCAAGGTAGGAGAGAGGCGAGCACCAGCGCAGTGGGGGCCTGCCTCCTTTTTGTTTTCTCTTTCAAAGCCACTTGGCTCCACTGAGGGTCATCTTCACCCCATGGGTATCTAAGCAGCGTGAGGTTGCTCACCAGCATGGCTGAGGTTGGGGTCCTGCAGCAGTTGGTCTTTCCACCATCTTGTCTCCTCCATTTTGGGCACCATGTTTCCCTCCCCAGCCCCCTTGCCATCCCCAGCATGGTCTCTGCCCCTCACTGCAGATCCTGGCTGCCTTGCCCTACGACTGGAGAGGAACACACCTCCTCATCTACTCCTGCCTCCGTGTGGTCTTCATCCCCCTCTTCATCATGTGTGTCTACCCCAATGGGAGACCAACCTTCAGCCACCCCGCCTGGCCCTGCATCTTCTCCCTCCTCATGGGCATCACCAATGGCTACTTCGGCAGCGTCCCCATGATCCTGGCCGCTGGCAAAGTGAGCCCTGAGCAGCGGGAGCTGGCAGGTAGGACCAAGCCCTCCTGGGAATCCCATGTGGGGTGGTGGCCAGAGTGTCCTGACACCCCATGTCCCTTCCCACAGGGAACACCATGACCGTGTCCTACATGACAGGCTTGACGTTGGGCTCTGCCGTGGCGTATTTTGCCTACAGCCTCACCAGTACATCCCACAGTACCTGTTTCTACACCGAAACCTCCAACGGCTCCTTTACGTCAGGGTACTGAGCCCCAGGGCGGGGCGATGGGGACAAGATGGGACCTGCATCCCACCGTGGTCCCCACCGCCCTGCGTGGCCCATGTCTCTCCTCGGGGAGGGAGCCTGGAGGCAGAAACCTAACCCAGGGCAGACAGGGACCAGCATTCTGTTGGCACGGGGCCGTCACATCCCAAAACGGCCTGTGCTGCCCAGCCAGGCACCGTGCAGGGCCCCTTCTTGGGGTGACATTCCCCCATGCTGGGGGACAGTCCTGTTGCTCTTGGGAGGGCTCCCCATCAGAAATGTGCAGCTCTCTAGTGGAGGCAGGGAAGGGGAGTCTTCTGTTTGAGCCAAGCCATTGCCAGGAGGAAGAAAATACTGCCAAAGCCCAAAGAGAACAGGACCAGCACTGGGGAGGAGGGTGATGGAGGGCTGGTGCGGAAGAGGAGCAAGAGGAAGGAAACACTCCTCCAGTCCCTGGTGGCTCTGAGAAGGTGGGTCTCACTTTCACTGATGGTGCTGCAGGTTTTCACCAAGAACAGCTTGAAATCATGATCCCTCCCCAAATACGCCAATCGCTGTGTAAAAGACCCACTTCACTTCTGCTGGTTGGAAAAAATCCACTTTTTTTGGTGTCTTGTTTTTGCCTCCCCCCCAACTAATGGCGAGAGGTAGGGTCTTGCCTCCCCCCTCCCCATGCTGTTGGGACTGCCCCACTGGGGCTGAGAGGGGGTCTTGAGGACACAATACCACAGATGCCACCCACAGGCCACCACTGAGCTTCAAGATTTATTTCAAGGGACATAAATGAAGCTGACGCCACATTAAATATCTTTATCCTTGGCACTGCAGGCAGTCGGGTTCTGGTGATGGGCTGGGCTGGCAAACACATAGAGGGTGATGCCTGGTGCCTGCCCTGGGGGGTCTTGGGTTATTCCTTGTCCTGCTGCCCAGCTCCAGGGTCCCCTCTGCCACCTGGACTTGTCACCAGGACCCATCAAACCCCTTTGTGGGCAGCAAGTGGGAGAGGGAATGGGCTGAGCAGAGCAGAAACCATCTGGAGAAGGTGCTGAGGCCAGAGGCTGCTGCTTTTCGGGACACGATGCACCTCACTGGGCCAGGAGTCAGCAGGTGCCACCTCCCAAGGAAGCAAAGTCCAAGGGCTGGAGGCTTGGCTCCCACCCCCGAACGGCCCCACCAGCACTGGAGGGTCTCACCAGGCCAAGCCCACACCAAAAAGAGCAAATCCAGAGTTTCATCCTCAAGACATCATCCCTGCAGTGCTCGGGGTAGGGGAGCTGCCGTGAGTGTGGTCACAGGGGAAGGACTCACAGCTCCTGCCCCACAGAGCTCTGCGGGTCCCATTCTGCCCATCGGTGCCAGCCCGCAGGGGCACGGACAGACAGACGGACAGGGTCCCCCCGAAAAGCCCTGTGGTGCCAGGGTTGGGTCTTTCACCAGACAGGAGGTAGATGCTGAGTCAAAAAGCGATCGTTGTCACCAAAGGGAGAAAAACCCCACAGTCAGGACAAGCGAGACAAAGAAAGATGCTTCGTTGGGTTGCTTTTTTTCAATTATTTTTTTTTTTTTTATGAAAAAAGATCACACGGAGTTCTCCAACAAACAGAATGCCAAAAAAATTGTTTTAAACAAAACATAAACAAAACAAAACAAAAAAAAAAGACAAAAACCTGGCTCTCCTTTCCTCTCGATTGTCTGAAATATCCTTGTGTTCCATAGAAGGCAGTGGGTTTTAAGTGCTTTCTATTTAACATTAGCATAAAATTTCTCTCGCGCGCTCTCTCGCTCTTTAAAATATGCTCACACAATTTGCTTCTAGAAGTACAGTACACTTTGAGCGTGGGGGGTGTGCCTGTTCCCAGATCATTTACAATCACAATCCAACAGGAAATAAAAAATAATATTCTAAACGTCAGACTGTGTTCATTTCTGTTGTTGTTTTTTTTTTCTTTTTTTTATAATTTCATAATTTTTTTCACAGTTTTAAAAAGTTTATATTTATATATATATATTTATATTTATATTTATAATTAAAAAGTTGAATCCATTTAAAGACTTATAATACAGGAGGGCTAAAGAGTCTTTTGGTACATTAAAACTGTACAGGCTAGAACTGTCACTATCCGCCGCGCCGAGGCGCCGGGGGCCCGGGGTGGAGATGGTACGAGCTCAGCACCATGTGGTTCATTTAAAGTACAAGGGGTAACTCTGCAGGGGAGTCCCTCTCCCCTGACCCCAGCCTCTGGTCTCTAGTCCGCAGTCGGTACCAGGGCAGATAGTTTCCAATCTGCCCTTGTCTTAAGCGTCTCCGCACCGGAGCCTGGGCCGGGCCCCGCTCCATGTCCTAGCAATCTGTAGTGCGAGTCGGTAGTTGCAAAGATCAGTGCGTCTCTTGGGAGTTGTTTTTCTTTTTTTGTTTAAGTGCAAGGATGTTGCATCATTGTGTGGTTCTCCTCCGGTGTCCCCCCTGCCCCCGGGCCAGGTGGCGGAGATGCCACGGGTCCTGCGTGTGCCCCAGCGGGAGCGAGACAACGGGTCAGCTCCGCAGAGGAGGCGACGGGGCAGCTCTCCAGGGGCTGTGGGGAGGTTGAGCGGCTGGATGGAGTGAGCCGAAGGGTCCCCTCCCCAAGCACAAGGTGACAGTGGGACTCTGGCTGTGGAAACGCCGCAGGTGGGCACAGCCAGGCTTCATGCTCTGCCCCCACTGCCTTCAAACGACGGGCAAGGGCTTCCCAGCAGCTCCACGTCTCTGCTCAGGCATGGCATAGTGGGTAAAGCTGGGTGAGGGATGCTGAAATCCAAAGGCCTGTGGTCTTCTATGCTCCACGCACCGAGCAGCAGCTTTGCCCAGTTGTTTCCTGCCACCCTTCACTGCATGCTCCAAGACGAGTTCTTTGTTCGCCAAGTGTCACCCCCTGGCCACGCGCTTGCTCCCCCCAGCACCTTTCCAGGGCAGGAGGGACACAGAGTGACAGGGAAAGCGGGTTCAGACTGTTTGTCTGAGGCAGTGGGAAGGCAGCATCCCAGACTGGATGTTGGCTCATCTTCCACATGGCTCCTCCCAGCCCGGAGGAGCTCTTCCCCATCTCCGTGCTGGGGCCAGCTCTGCCCTGCCGTGCTCCACGCTGCCGGCCAGAAAAGGAACCACAAAAAGGCGCTGAGAGGATTGAGACGAGGCGCTGAGAGACTCATCTCCTTTCTCTTTCACCCTGTCCTTCCTAAAGCATCATGTGAAACTAAGCAGGAAAGGGAATATAAGGACGGAGAGGAGCGTACGCAGAAGGCTAGCGGGTGTCCTTCCATGTACAGGCGGCTTCTGAGTTACTGATGGGGGCAAATGACACAAAAGGGATCCCTCCTGCCGGGGGGTCCCGCTGGTGAAATGATCACGAGACCCATGTGCTTTCCTGGACCAAAAGGAGGAAGGGAGAAGTTGGTCAAGTGCCACCTTACTTAAAGCCACTTCCAGAAGAGCCGTGGGGTTCAAGCACCACCACCCCCCCCCACCGGCATCTTCCTCAAGTCCTGTAACTGCTTCCCCAACCCCTTTCTTCAGCCCTCTCCTTCCTCCGCGTGTCTCTCGCGCTCTCCTGTCTGTAGTGTGATACAGAAGTCATGAGCATTGAAAGAAACAATCATGTCGTCTGAACAGGCACGTCCTCAGGTTTGTCCCATCCCTTCCCAGGGGGTGGCACGTGTCCCCTGGGCAGTCAGCAGATGACAGGGACCCCGTCGGTGTTGAAGATCATGCCCGTAGTGGGCTCGTAGGTCCCTGCAAGGTAGTAGAGGTCCTCACTGTCTTGATATTTCTTCGTCTTTAGCATCTGCTCGTATTGATCCAGACCAACAACAAGACACTTGTGTGAGATGGTCTGGACATCGTTTTCATCCACGTGAGAGGACTGGTAGAGGGCTCGCTGTGTGACAGGAACGGAAGGAGGGAGATGGAAAGGAGCAGTTAGATCTCACAGCATTTACATCTTCCAATATGCAGGAAAAACATCCACCACAACCGGCCAGGGCTTGTGCTCACACTCCAGCAGAACTCCCCACTCATGCCCGCTGCCAGCCCAAGGGACAGACACTGGGAATCTGCACAGGCCCACAGGCAGCGTCGGCACCACCCGTCCAGCACACCAAACCCAAACCCTCGCTTTCACCCAGCTCCAACTGATGGGAACGCCGTGGCAGCTGAGCGCATGGGCAGCGGAATACAGAGGCCAGGAGTTTGCCATCCTCACTTCAAGGATGAAGATGCACAGGTGGGTGCTGGATACCAGCTCTCTGTTCCTCCTAACACCCAGCACCTGCAGCTGCTTTGGCCTACCCAGAAACACCCCTCCTAAGCCCTGGGTGCTGTGGCCTCAGCAGCTGATGCAAAAGGCAAGAGCCAGAGAAGCTCGAGGGGGCATTTCCCAGCAGCATTTGTTCCCCCAGCATCCCCTCCCAGCCCTCCCCCAACCTCACCAACCTCCATAAAGTCCTTCCTCTGGTTGGACGCCTGCAAAGCTGTGGACAGACTCCTGCCTGATTTCTGATCCCAGCGCTGTGTCCAAGAGGAAGAGAAAAGAGAAAACAGAAACGAAAAGGAGATGAATTAGTTGTTTTCCCACGGAATCACCTCCTGCCCACCACATGTGCTTTTACAACCTCAACCCCTGTCCACAGCCCCTCGTAATAAATACTGAGAGTCCACTGTAAACCACACTGCACACATGTGCCAAATTCAGTGTTTCTGAGCACCAGGCCAGTCATTCTTACACTGTAAAAACATTCAAATGACACCTTTTTCGGCCAACACAAAAGTCTTTACTTCCTAGTATGATATAACCCACATGTCTCCTGCTCAAGGGGTAAACACCAGGCTTGTCCACACCACAGGCAGCCCCCACAAGATGAAACAAAGAGGCCACTCCCATTACAGTACCGGTTACAAACTGGGTGATGGGTGTTTTCCTGATCCTTGGAAACAAAAGGGAACAAGCAGCTTTGCAGCCCTCTTGACAACGCAGACCAGCCTACCTTGCCTTCATTGAGTTTCTTCCCAGGGTTGGTTTCTTCTGGGTGATAAAACCATTTGACTCGAACCACCATGTTGTTCCCCCACGACTCCCACATGCTCTGGATCCGGCCGATGTAGGGCAGGTTGGGGCGGCCGGCTGAGAGGAAGACTGCACAGTCCCCGATGCGGATTATCTCCTTGCCCCGGACGATGGCCTTGTAGAAGAGCTTCCTGGCCTTCCCTTTCATTCCTCGTCTCTGCCAAGAGAGGATCGTGAAGGTGAGCAGCCAGGGATCACCCAGGTTTTCCCCACTCACCGCTGCTTGCCCAGTCACACATCCCACCCTTTGCTGTTGGCAGGGCCACAACCTCCCCAGGCATTCCCCCAGGAAACAGGGCAGAGGGACACCCCATGCAGGACGGCTCCCCCAGACACAGCCAAGGCCAACCCCACTCTCCCTGCAAACTGGAGACACACCACGCCAGCAGAGCTTCAACACCCTGGGAGAAGGGAAAGGAAAGGGCACAAGGCAAACGGCAGTGCCACGGAGCGGTGGGAGAGGCTCTCTTTACCTGCGTGGGTTTCCCAAACCACTTCCACAGCTGCCGTGCAGGGAGGAAAGCAGCGATCTTGGGCCTGTTCTCTACCGATGGCAGCCGCTGGCGCTTGGCCAGCTCCTTGGTGGTGGGCAGGTGGATGCCCTCACGCTTTTTGGGCCTGCTCTTGTTGCCGCTCTGCTGTGGTGCCGGCTGTTGCACCGGCTGCTGCACCGGCTGTTTCTGGCTCTGGGGGTGGGAGGACGTGCGGGATTTCCCTGCCTGTTTGGTTTGCTTGGGTGGGAGGGTTTGCTGCACCGAGGAACTTGGCTGGGCCTCAGCTACTTCGTCATCAGAGCTACAGGAGGAGTCTTCATCTGTAGTGGAGGAGGAAGAAGAGCTGGAGCTCGATGAAGAAGAGGTTGATGAGGCTGAGGAAGAGGAGGAAGAGGAGGAAGAAGAGGAGCTGCTGCTAGAAGAGGAGGAGGAGGAGGAGTTAGAGGAAGAGAGAGGGGAGGATGCTCTCGAGCTGGCCGAGCTGCTGTCCTGGGCTTCCCCTCGGTTCTTCTCAGCCTCCTCTTCTCCCTCTGACTCCGAGCTGCTGTCGCTCGAGTTGCTCTCAGACTCTTCCACAGCTGCTGGAGCCGCTGCCTTTTCTTCCTGGTCCTTTGAAGCAGTGAGGCTCTCTGCTGAGCCATCAAACTTTCCTCCAAAGCTGGCAGGGGAAGAGTCTCCCTCAGCTGCTTTGGCTCGGGAAGATTTCTGCTTGCCCTCCGCACCCACTGCAGGGGAATAGCCCAGCCCCAAGAGACTCTTGCCATCTCTGCGACTGGCCAGGTTCGAGTCCTCCAGCATCCTCATTGCCTCCTTCATCTTCTTTGTCTTTGGAGACATCACACCCTCATGGTCCAGCTTGATCAGGATTTCATTGTCATGCTTCCTCTGAGCCTTGACCATGGTGCCAAACTCCTGTGTCTCTTCTGTGGGCCGCCCTTTCTTGGCCTTGGCTTTCGATGCTGAAGAATCACTGGATCCAAAGGCTGCCAGTGTCCCCGGGAGGTCACTGTAGGGTTCCGCGCCGAGGATGCTGCCAAACACAGCAGGCT